TCGGCACGCATGTATGAGATATATATATATATATATATATATATATATATATATATATATATATATATATTGAGAGAGAGAAAGAGAGAGACAGAAGGAGAGAGAGAAAGACAGAGAGATCGACAAAGGCTAAGATAGAAAGACAGGCAGACGAACGGATGGATGGACGGACACAGCGACGCATGAAAGAATGAAAGGAGGGAGATATTTGACTTTGAAAAATTAAACTGATTCTAAGAAAAAAGTGCAAGAGAATTTAATAACGATAAGAGTAGTTAAGAGAGACAGAGAGAGAGAGAGAGAGAGAGAGACAAAGAGAAATAAGAGATTCTATTTTGAAATATTCAATAGAATGAAAGGAAAAAGGACAACACAAGTTAGTAGACATGAATAGAGTGGGAGAGAGAAAGAGATAAAGAAAGAGAAAGAAAGAGAAAGAGATAGGGGGGGACTGGGTGAGATACGTCACCAGTCGACCTTTCGAGATAAAGTACCAGAGGACTCCACACTCATTACTTCGGAAATTTTTCTTAGTGGGGGGGGGGGGGGGGCACATCGATATCACTGTTAATTTATGTAAGGATGCTCGACAATAGCATTACAATTCCAATTGCTTGTTTCCACATTACGATTACCGCGCCACGTGCATTGGCACCGAATAATTATAATCAATTTTTTTCTACATTCGCGATTTTTAATTTCTGCCGTCAGCTCCGTCTCTTTACCTGTACTAACTTATCAATACAATGATTTCGTTGGCGTGAGCGAGCTCGGCTGCGTGGGCGAAACGCATTAAATTATTAAAGAAAATTTCGCTTATCCTTACAACTACGTGGCGGGAAAAACCGAGCCCTTAGTAAAAAAAAAAGCCCATGAACCGTCGGACGCGGTTTCTTGTCCGCGACGAAATAAATCTCAGGAAAAGAAGATGTGGCGGATCGCGTGGGATTATTAGTTGGATGGGTTAATGAAAAACGTGCGTAAAAATCACGAGCGAAGCACGAAAAGGAAGGAGAGAAAAATTTGCGGAAATAAACTCGCTGCGCAATCACACAGGTTCACGGCAATCTGTTCTCTGGTGGAATTTCGCAAACGCGCAACGCAGCCGAAAAGCCGAGCTAATTGTCCGGTAGCATGCGCGAGCGGAAATTTTTGAAAAATCCAGGGAATGTGCGTTGAGGTTATTCTTCCTACTATGGTAACTAGTGGCTTAATAAGGTATTTGTCGGCGACATTGTAACGCGTAGCGACATACGAGCGATTTTTAGTTGCGAGCTTAAGTGAGGAGAAGGACGAGGATAGGGAGGCGAAGATGAAGGAGGATGGATGGGGTTGAGGAGTGAGGTGAAAATAGATGGGAAACGGTATTTAAGAGTGCGCAACAGCTGTTTGCCCAGCTGGCAGTGTCGTTGGTGTGTCGCGGGTGCTGATGGAAATGCCGAGGCGGCGGTAAAAGTTGCCGACACTCATTTGCATCGATCTCTTTTCGTGCGGCTCATATGTTAATCGGCTTAAATGCCTCGCGTATCGTTGCCCGTTTCACATGATTTATCGATAGGCGTTTATAAAATTGCGCGGGGATGGTGGGCGACAAGCCGTTCCGCGGCTAACCTCGTTTAGTGGGGCATTTATGAGCTGTGGCGCGCGCCGCGAAAATTTCCTACGGCTAAGCAGCTTTTATTGCGCACAATTGAATGTTCGCGAAATGGTACGTGAGCACGTAGTCAAAGACTTTTAACGTCGGGCCACCCGTTTGTTCCCCATTCCCGTCCCTACGTACGTATCGCAGGATTTAAATACTGACGGTTCAATGGATTCCATTGAATGTAGAAAATTGAAATTTATGATGATAAATCTTGAAACGACAGAGCGGCGAGCGCGAGTGCGCGCGCCTACTGTACCTTTTTTCATTATCGGCCAAGTAAAACTACCGGAATACCGCAGATAAATCAAATGGCACAGTCCGCTAACAAAAACCTCGTGTCCTCTAGCGCTTATTATAATGCGCGTAACGTCACGTCAGGTGTATTATTCGATTTTTGCGTGCCACACGCTCCGACTACGAGCGGACGCGTGTTGTTCGCTTAAATTTCCATTTCAGTGAATTATAGCGTCTTATAAACT